TTGAAAATGAAATTTGTAATATGACTTACTTTAAATTTTGTAATAGAATGGAATTACGTTCCTTTTAAGGCATTGATGAAGGTTTATAAATTATTTTCATCAAGAAGTGCTTGAAATCTGTTAAATTAGTAGATTTAATGGATTGAAGCTGTTGGCAGGAAGCTCCTTGGCCATCGATGTTGTGCTTTCTGGCAATCACCAGTTAACATGGCTTATTTTCAAACTTGAAGGAAATAATGTCCCTTCTGACATCCAAACATGAGGCACCTATTGCTGCAGTTAGAAATACTACAGCCTAAATACTTGAGCAAATGACTGACCACCAGTAGGACTGTAACCACCACTTACACAGGGCATGAGGTAGCAAACAATGTTATGCTTCCAGTTCTTCATTTGATGCATACTGAGTGGCAACGCCTCAAACTGCAGCACTTGGTGACGCGGATTCGAATCTCAGAGAGGATTTGTGTTGCTTCAAGACCGCTGAGTGCCAACAAGCATAAAACTTAGGTGCAGAACATATTGCCAGTTTCCTCTACCTAACTAGCGTAGAGATATTAGTGCTAACATTATTGTTTCTGATAAATCAGGGCTTCCTAGCCAGATCAGTAGATTGAAGTCCATTTTCAAAAATCTATGTATCCGTTATGATCTGACTTCCTGGATAAATATTTAAACAAACAAAAGTCAATCTGAACGAAGAATATTCTTTTCAATAATTTCTCCTGTTCAGTCTCTTACAATCATAAAATACAATATTTGTTGTCGTTACAATAATGATAGCCAGTTATGCGGCGGATGCATTTTTAACGTAGAATAACAGATTAGCAGTTATGGGGTGTCAAAATAAATAGTCGTATTTGTGTGACAAACGTGCTAAGCTGAAGTTAATAACATATAGGGCGCACAATTAGGCAGGTTCGTCTACGGGTTCCAGAACACTTACCAGCTTTGTCCAGCAGACGGGAAATTAAGTGCATAAAAGCTCGATCCTGTCACACTTGGTCAATACTGGACATCGCATCGATGTCAACATAGCTTTCAGAGTCATAAACCGAATTCCGAATTCGTTGTCACGTACAGTTCGCTTACGCATCCTACACATAGCTGAAGCTGTTGCAATAAGATCGACTAAACCGGAACTTTGTATCCAAAACGAACACGTCCAGACGCTGTTCCTATCGTGGCCAAACTTGGATTGATGATTCTTCTTCTCACCAAGAGTGCTCCTTCCCCTTAGCCCTTTTGAGTTTTTCTTGCGTTTGCTTATTAGTACAAATATTATTATTACAATCATTAGTATCGTTATTCGTCGTAATTTGTGCCCTTCATGCAAACATTCCCTCAATACTATCGAATTTTCATTTATACTATCCGGACTTATTATTAGTGACATTATCTCTTTTTTCAACATATGCCTCCACCTGTTTCATTTCATATATTCTGTATTTCATTATGAACCTCTCATTGCAGTCAGTCTTACTATCTCCTGTTTAACACAGACCACTTTGTACTAGCCACTCACTCACCTAACACCTTCGATAATCTTGAACTGACTTGTCAATTTTCCTACACCACACTCTACAAATATATTAGGACCAATCACCACCATTGTCTCCCGTTTTACAATATTTTGTAATCGATTTCAGCCAACACGCACATTTGTCACACAAATACGACTATTTGTTTTGACACCCCATAACTGCTAATCTGTTATTCTACGTTAAAAAATGTATCCGCCGCATAACTGGCTATCATTATTGTAGCGACAACAAATATTACATTTTATAATTGTAAGAGACTGAACAGGAGAAATTATTGAAAAGAATATTCTTCGTTCAGATTTTTTTATTATTTTATAATATGGGAATATTTCACCCAATCAAATCATACAAACAACCCATACATTGTGAGATAACCTGTTTTAATATTCTGTTTGTCAATGTTGGCAAACAGAAGGATAGAGAAAGCGCATTTCTACCTGTTTAGACTTTGTCATTGTTGGATGTGCTTGCATTCCAAGTGGGTGAATTGAAATAGTGTTCCCGCCAAGATTCGAATAGGGTACCAGTTGTTTCAAACAATAAAGTGGTTCAAAACAGATCAGTGGCTGACTCGATATTTACTAACCTATGTTACCTATCTTATTATCCAACAGGAAATCAATTCCTTTGAGGTATCATATATATATATATATATATATACAGCTGACGAGTGACGAGAAGCATAAGACGTAAATGTGGAGTCTTCTGTCTTTCACCTCCATTCATCGAACATCAATTCGGACAGGCTCACGGAGGTTAGTCAGCTGCCTTATTGGTGACGGTATACCAAGTCCTGATTGGCAGAGTACTGTCAGCTCTAATAATCGAGCTGGTGCTGTTTAGGTTAAGTAGACATTAGTCTTCGTCTCAGAATGCTTTTATGTAGTCACGTCTTCTTAGTCTCTACCAATTAAGTCCTATTTACCACATTCACGTCGCTGCAAGTTGGGAGTGTTCCTCAGAAAACTGATGAAAAGGTCAAAGTGAACGTCTGATGCTTACAACAGAACATGTGAACATTCCATTCACCCTGGATAGAGGTTCTGGGAAACCCTAATTCCAAACCTATGATTTACATGCGCACCAAAATCAGAACAGATCAACAACCATAGGAGAACAGATCTTGACGCTCATTCAAAGACACGCTGGTCAGTGCTGAGCCGTTGGGTTTGTCCATGACGAATAATAATAATTGTAATAATAATATTTGTACTAATAAGCAAACGCAAGAAAAACTCAAAAGGGCTAAGGGGAAGGAGCACTCTTGGTGAGAAGAAGAATCATCAATCCAAGTTTGGCCACGATAGGAACAGCGTCTGGACGTGTTCGTTTTGGATACAAAGTTCCGGTTTAGTCGATCTTATTGCAACAGCTTCAGCTATGTGTAGGATGCGTAAGCGAACTGTACGTGACAACGAATTCGGAATTCGGTTTATGACTCTGAAAGCTATGTTGACATCGATGCGATGTCCAGTATTGACCAAGTGTGACAGGATCGAGCTTTTATGCACTTAATTTCCCGTCTGCTGGACAAAGCTGGTAAGTGTTCTGGAACCCGTAGACGAACCTGCCTAATTGTGCGCCCTATATGTTATTAACTTCAGCTTAGCACGTTTGTCACACAAATACGACTATTTATTTTGACACCCCATAACTGCTAATCTGTTATTCTACGTTAAAAATGCATCCGCCGCATAACTGGCTATCATTATTGTAACGACAACAAATATTGTATTTTATGATTGTAAGAGACTGAACAGGAGAAATTATTGAAAAGAATATTCTTCGTTCAGATTTTTTTATTATTTTATAATATGGGAATATTTCACCCAATCAAATCATACAAACAACCCATACATTGTGAGATAACCTGTTTTAATATTCTGTTTGTCAATGTTGGCTAACAGAAGGATAGAGAAAGCGCATTTCTACCTGTTTAGACTTTGTCATTGTTGGATGTGCTTGCATTCCAAGTGGGTGAATTGAAATAGTGTTCCCGCCAAGATTCGAATAGGGTACCAGTTGTTTCAAACAATAAAGTGGTTCAAAACAGATCAGTGGCTGACTCGATATTTACTAACCTATGTTACCTATCTTATTATCCAACAGGAAATCAATTCCTTTGAGGTATCATATATATATATATATATATATATACAGCTGACGAGTGACGAGAAGCATAAGACGTAAATGTGGAGTCTTCTGTCTTTCACCTCCATTCATCGAACATCAATTCGGACAGGCTCACGGAGGTTAGTCAGCTGCCTTATTGGTGACGGTATACCAAGTCCTGATTGGCAGAGTACTGTCAGCTCTAATAATCGAGCTGGTGCTGTTTAGGTTAAGTAGACATTAGTCTTCGTCTCAGAATGCTTTTATGTAGTCACGTCTTCTTAGTCTCTACCAATTAAGTCCTATTTACCACATTCACGTCGCTGCAAGTTGGGAGTGTTCCTCAGAAAACTGATGAAAAGGTCAAAGTGAACGTCTGATGCTTACAACAGAACATGTGAACATTCCATTCACCCTGGATAGAGGTTCTGGAAACCCTAATTCCAAACCTATGATTTACATGCGCACCAAAATCAGAACAGATCAACAACCATAGGAGAACAGATCTTGACGCTCATTCAAAGACACGCTGGTCAGTGCTGAGCCGTTGGGTTTGTCCATGACGAATAATAATAATTGTAATAATAATATTTGTACTAATAAGCAAACGCAAGAAAAACTCAAAAGGGCTAAGGGGAAGGAGCACTCTTGGTGAGAAGAAGAATCATCAATCCAAGTTTGGCCACGATAGGAACAGCGTCTGGACGTGTTCGTTTTGGATACAAAGTTCCGGTTTAGTCGATCTTATTGCAACAGCTTCAGCTATGTGTAGGATGCGTAAGCGAACTGTACGTGACAACGAATTCGGAATTCGGTTTATGACTCTGAAAGCTATGTTGACATCGATGCGATGTCCAGTATTGACCAAGTGTGACAGGATCGAGCTTTTATGCACTTAATTTCCCGTCTGCTGGACAAAGCTGGTAAGTGTTCTGGAACCCGTAGACGAACCTGCCTAATTGTGCGCCCTATATGTTATTAACTTCAGCTTAGCACGTTTGTCACACAAATACGACTATTTATTTTGACACCCCATAACTGCTAATCTGTTATTCTACGTTAAAAATGCATCCGCCGCATAACTGGCTATCATTATTGTAACGACAACAAATATTGTATTTTATGATTGTAAGAGACTGAACAGGAGAAATTATTGAAAAGAATATTCTTCGTTCAGATTGACATTTAATTCATCATATTGGAATATTTCAAACTATTATATATGTAACAATAAAATCAAATTCACAGTTCGCAAATTATTTCACCATTTTCAATGTACACAGTTCCAGGAGGCAATATGTAGTAATTTATTGTAATCGGAGTATTAGTATTTCAAGATGACCGAATTACAAGAATCCAAACAAAACACAGAGAGGGCGGAATTCAGGAATTTGTATTTAGCGGAATTATTATGCAATTCATATATGAAACATATTAACAGTCAACAGTAAGTTTTTAAACAATACAGAGATAGAAATTGTCAATCACCACATCCGCCACACGTCGAATATCTCCTTGCGTATTTATAACGATGTCTCGGTTTGCTTGCAAGTAGCTGCGACCTTCTAACTGATTCTGTGATATTATTTTCATCAGTATTATCTGGACCTATTTCTGAATTATCTACAAAATCAGGATTATTAGCGGAATCATTAAAATAATAATTGGAACGACCTACTTCATTTATTGTCACTTTGTCCAGGTGTCTGTTATGAACTGAGTGATCTTTGATGTCTAATATCTTCACCACTCGATTTCCCATTTTTTGTAGTATAATTCCAACAGAAGGTCTATAGTCTTTCTCTTTGTAATAATGTACATTAGAAGTCGTGGACATCAGATGCTTTTTGAGAATTCGAGATTTGAAAAGTTTTGCAGGACTTTCACGGGTACTTGTATGCTCTGCATTCAACAGACGCAGTCTATGCATATGCATCAATTCCTCCATTTTAATCAGTTGCTCTCTCATCTCATTCAGATTTTTTCGTGTTTTCGACAGTTCACATTGTAACTCAGCTACCTCATTTTTGAAAACAGTTGATGCTTGAGTTGCCGAACTTGTAGTGGAGGTTTTCATTGGATTAGCTTGAGTATTTTGAAAAGTTGAAAGACACATTGACTCCATTTTACTAGACAGCTTGGGAGAATTATAAGAATGTTGAGCAACATAAGTATTCGAACTTCTGCAAACCGTCTTGATGTGTCCAACTTTACCACATTTGTGACACTTAGCACCCCGAAAACGGCAAGTGCTTCGTAGATGTAACTTTCCACAGGAAAAACACGGTTTAATGTTTTTGATCTCTCGCTGCATTCTATTACCTGTGGACGACAGTTTGGATTGCTTTCCATGACTACTTGTATTTTCGACTTTAGAAAGCATGACATCAGATACTGACGTAGTGGGAGCAGAGTATTCATTATTGACATCTTCATATGTAATACATAAATCTTTAGCAGTTTGAAAGGTACAAGAAGGAATCTGAATTAACTCTTTCTCTAACTTAGGAATATTGATTCCAGCAATTAGACGATCACGTAGTTGAGTATGCAGCTGATCTCCAAAGTTACACTTTGAAGCTTGTATTTGGAGTTGCAGAATAAAGTCTCTAATCCTCTGGTTGGGAGCACGAACCAGTTTATGGAATTGAGCCCTCTCTCTGGTCTCAAATGTAGTTACATGAAAGTGATTTATCAGAAGTTCACGGAGTTTATAATATGGCAGAGAAATTGGTTTATCTGGAAATGACAGAGTCTTTACTAGGCTATACGCATCTAGCCCAATAGCAGTGATGAAATGTGCTGGTATTTTGTCATCCCGAACATTCTTTGAAATGCACCACGCATCGAAGCATTCCAAATAATCAGCAATCTCCCGCGGAGAACCATTAAGAGGAAATTTTCCCAGGTTATTTAGTTCCATCGCGACGCCAATTTGTAGTAATTTATTGTAATCGTAGTATTAGTATTTCGAGATGACCGAATTACAAGAATCCAAACAAAACACAGAGAGGGCGGAATTCAGGAATTTGTATTTAGCGGAATTATAATGCAATTCATATATGAAACATATTAACAGTCAACAGTAAGTTTTTGAACAATACAGAGATAAAAATTGTCAATCACCACACAATATCTACTTTGGGGACCGAAATTATTCCTATCAATATATGTGATCTACTTGAAACCATAAATGATGATCAAGAAAGCAATTATGAATGCTCAGAACTACGCACTACTCATAAGTTTGAGAATACTCACGTCCGTTCTGATAGCGTAACCTGAGTCACCTAGCAACCCAGTTACAGACAGTCAATCAAAGCATCTGCTCTAGCGATTGACCTTCTCTAGGACTCTAGTAGATAATTTAGTCGGACTAGTTTCACACGTCTAATCCTTGGTATTTTAAGTTCAAACTAAAGTCTATCCCTCACATTTCATTATTTCAAATGAGAACTAAATATCTAGGTGTAAAATTCTCGCTTCTCTACTTAAAGACAAACGAATCAATGCGTTGTGTTTAACAGTATTTCTGAAGTGTGTGCACTTTGTGAGAGAAGAGAATACAAAATACTTTTTAAAAAGCAACTGCGATAAATACTAATTTTGTTCTATTCGATGAATTGAGTAGGTCTTTTCATTCATTCATGATCAAATGATTCAGTTATCCATTCTACATGTGACTACTTAAATTTTTTGTTTTACTTCATTCCATGCGTCACTACCTTACTACTCTTCACCCTAGTAATCTCTATAATTATATGCTGCAAAAGAGCACTTGTCTTCACAATACTGGTTAAGTGTACATATAAGTTCAGCTGCAGTCCTTTGGAGCAACAATTTACGTCGAATTGTATTATACTATACTGACTGTGTAACGTCAGTTTCTGGGCTACTTTGATACTGAAAATTGATTTGCACTGAATATCATCAAGTAATCAGAAATTTTCAAGGATGTGTTTTGAAGGGATTTTGTTTGATTGCATGGAGGATTTCATCATGAGCTGACCTCAGCTAGGGAACTATTGGAAAACCTGGGAGTACTGGACAGCTGTTTCGTCCTGGATTGGGACTTTTCATCAGTACGCATCCACCACAGGGGTTAGAGTCCAGGACCTTCTGGTTACAAGGCTAACGAGCTCATAAGCCATTCAGCCACTGGGACCCAATCCAATGATCCTCATGATGAAATCCTCTATGCAATGAAACTAAATCCCCACAAAACCAATACTTGAAAATTAATCTGATGATCACTAGTGACTGCCCCTATTCAGGCAGTTAACCTGGGGTTCTAGTGGGAAGCCGTGACCAGTAGGGTACAGCAGGTTGAAGATGAGGCAGTAACTCATTGAAGAAGACATTGCGAAATGGTCGCGTTATATCGTGAATTGCCAGAAGTTAGAATTCAAGGACCATTGGATTGTTTCCCAGTGGCTCAATGGTCTACGTGCTTTGCCTTGTAACCAGAAGGTCCTGGGTTCGAACCTTGATGGGTGCGTGCTGATAAAGAGTCGAAAACCAGGACGGAACAGCTGTCCAGTACTCCCACGTTTTCCAGTAGTTCTCTAGCTGAGGTCAGCTCATGATGAAATCCTCCATGTTATAACAAATTCTTCCAAAAATTGAAGTTTAGCAATCCAACAATAATTTTATTTTTAATAAATAGAGATTTGGAAATGGCAACATGCACACACAAATGCAGAGAATTTCTTAAGAAAGAGTGTATGTCAAAACCTAGAGACAGGGTAAAGGTGGATACCAAAGATAAGATACCTTTGTATCTTAAGTTAAGTTAAAAAGGGAAATTTCAGCTGACATTCTAAAATTTCGACTTAACAGAGCAGTAGAGAGAACATTTCCTGCAACTTAACTGGTACTCAACTTCTCAACTAAACCAGTACTCACACAGTGAGTCAAGAATGAATTACCAAAGATGGCAACATCAGTGTCTATTTTTGACTTCAACTGCTCATTTGGAGCTAGTTACATCGGTCGCACTCAGAGGGCTTTATCCATGCGTGGGCGTCAACTTGTGCTTGTATGGTTGAGTAAAGAGGTAACCAAATCCGTAAATAGTGCAGTCTTAGCCCACTTGGTAGATACTGGATACCTGGTAAAACTTGACCCGGCGTTCTCTGTTATTTACCGCATTCCTGGTAATTAATTTAGAGGAGCTCGACTACGTCTTCTGTCAGTAGCTTAAGCGGCTGCAGTCAATATCAGAAGGCCAACTCTTTGTATACAGAAGAGGTATATTCAACCTCTATGTTTATCTTGGCCTACAATAAAGCCAACAAATCCTGCATAAACATTAGCCCTTTAAATTCCTATCACAATTTTCTTTTCTTCTTCTTCTATTCCTTTGTTTCATTGGTAAACGTTCACTTTCGACTTTTATGATTGTATGACCTTTCTTATAATTTATTTCCTTAGGTTTAAGTGTGCTTTTCAAACTTGTTATCGTAATTACAAAATCCTGTTCATTCCACTTCATTACATTCATTATTATTATTATTATTTGACTGTCAGTCACCAATATAGAAAAAATCCCCATTAAGACATTTAGAAAACAGAAAGATTGAGCAGCGAAGAAATATTTACTTTTCAATTAGATCCTCATCTCTGGCTCTACTTTAATATGTTCTGTATTTTTATTACATTACACAACAGTTTACCAATCAAGTGGCACTGATATGTTTGTTAACAATAATTAGTCAGTATCAAAATGTCAATGCTATGGGTGACAATTAACAAAGAAAATTATTACACATAATTAAAAGGTAGAAATGGTTACAACAAGTGGATTGCATAATGCATAATTTCGGAATATTGAAGAGTAATTAAGGAATAAGCGTGTGCACAGGTTGATTAGGTAATAGATTGTTAAAGAAAATAAAACAATTTGGACAATGATAATTTGTAGCTAAGGCTGAAATGGTAATAAGAATAAAATAATTATTCAAGGATAACACGTAATTAAAGATGAAATATTCAGAAAGAATAAAATAAATAAAAATAATAATAATTTTTATAATTTTAAAGGCTTAGGGGGAGGGGGCGAAACAGTTCGCCTTATGAATTCATGTAACAATGGCCAAGGTATGGAAAGTGGCTGTAGAGATTTCGCTTGAACACACAGGTTTGGCTTCTTCAGGTGGATTCCTATTGTTTCATCTGTATGTGTAGAAGACAAACTCGTGTAGCAAAATTAAGGTTACTAGGAACGCGATAAATAATTTTAAATGCAGTATCAACATCAACCTTATGCTCATAATCTACAAGGTGTGCTAAAATAGACCTACGAATAGATCTTGTATCTCTCTTGCTCAACCAAGCTGGATGATGTTCGAAAATACGATGTGATGAACCTGCCTAATTGTACACCCAATTTAGCTGGCTCCGCAGCTGCAGTCAAACTGGTAGATACACATAAAGGAGGCGAATTCAGGTAGTTTATCCTTATTTCTCGAACGTAGAATAGGGGTGGCTGTGAAGAGACAAAGTACCTCTTCTGCATAATAAGCTCTTTTAACTGCATTCTTGAGGTGCTGTGTTATTATTTCGCTGATGTTGTCACCGAGGAACTGCAGTTTTATGAACAGTGTTTTTTTCGGAACTGTTGCCACAGTGACTGTCCTAGGTGATAAATTCATATTTTTCTCAATGAACTTTTCTGGATAACGATTTTTTCTAGGTAATTCTCTATTGATCTTAAGCTCCTCATTGAAGCAGTCGTCTGAACAGATTAACCTAGCTCTATGAACCAGACACTTTACAAGATTACGCTTATATTTCATAGGTACAAAACTCAAAAAATGAGTGTACTGTCCTGTTGTAGTAGGTTTCCTGTACACACTCCTTCTTAGTGTGCCATCTTCTTTCCTTGCCATGAAGACGTCTAGGAATGAGATACAGTCATTACTTTCTTTC